AATCTTAAAGATAATTTGAATTTTTCGATTGTGTAATTATAATTTGCAACAAATAATACAGGAGCTCATGATAATCCAACAATATTACAATGGTGGACCGAAGAAGCATCCGAAAAAGAAAAACGTCAATTTATAGATTATATCCGTCGTCCAATTGAAGGTGATAAAGAACTAATCAATGGTTTAGAATTGGAAAAACACCTTGATAAACATATTTGTTGGTATTTCATACAAATTCTTTTCCAATCAGCTGCAAATGGAGCAATTGTTCAAATGCAAGATCTTTTAAATAGTTTAACAAGAATGAATATACCAGGAACAGGTAACCTATATTGTCACAAATTATAGTCATGAGAAATATTTATCATACAATCAAAAAAAATTTATATTTTTGGGTTTTTTGACAGTTATCTCAAATCTAAAAATCAGTTTATAACTAAAGTAATCTTTACTTTTAATGATCGGTAAAATTTCAATAATTATTTCTAAGCAATATAACAGAAAAGAAATACTGCATTGTAGTTATGTTAGTTCTATTTCTAATATGGAACATTGAAAAAAAATTATATCACTAAGACAAAGTTTTTTTTTTTTTTGTTGGTCATTATTAGAATCTGATATTGAATATGATGGTCCACAAAATTGGTCATGGCGTTTTGAATGGTCTCAATTGACATCCAATATTCGAATCCGATTAAAAGAATTAACACAGATGTATGGACGGGATTTAACATATGATAAAACTATTTCGTCAGAAGATATGACTTTAAAAAATGATTCGACATCTCCTTTATAATAAGCTTATCCATTTTCATAATTATATTTTTCAATTTCATGTTTTCTTTTTCTTTCATTTCGTTATTTAAACTAGAAGATAACTCTGCTTTTCTTATACAAAAATAAAAGATGTTCTGATGAACACGTATCTTCAAATTATTATATTAAGTGTCTTCGTTAAATAGGAACTTTTAGTAATTGTATACTCTAGGGAAAAAATACAATTTTCTATAATTTCCTAGTAGTTACATTCATACCTATTCTAGAACTAATATTATTATTGTGATATTACTCGGAGCATATAGGGTGTCCAGTAAGTAACTCCACAAAGAAAAAGTTGAATATCTTCATTACAACTCGACCAAACGGGCTCATTTTTTTACCAAGGATAGAGGCATGTTCACATTTCAAATCCAT